AAAACATTAGATAATATATATATATATATATATATTTTTAAACGAGAAAATTATTTAAAAGTCTTATTTGGATTTTAATGTGAAATTTTGTGAATTTTTTTTTAGAATTTGAAATCCTATTTAAATAGGAATGTGTTTCATAAGATCCTATGAGTTGTAAATGAATGATATTGGTATACTATTATACCCCTAATTTGTTTCTATATTTTACCTTATTTCTCATTCATCATATCACATTTGGAAAAGTTTTTAGGAAAGACAAGTTTACAAGCAACGACCGTGCAAGTTGTTTTTGCCTTGATCGCGAGATTCTAGTGCATTTTCAAAATGTTGCTTAAATAGATGTGGATGATAAAGTTTGAGGGTTGTGCGTTAATTCTTTCGATAGATTTTGACTCCAATCAGTTGAGGGGAAAATGTATTTATTTATTTATTTTGTTGAAGTGTGTTACTGTTTGTTTAAGTATGGATTGTTCATATTTAATAGAGGATTGACAATCTATTACACTCATTGATAGGCATACTTCGGTCAATGTTCTGATTGACTGTAACACCCGTCTTTTACTTATCTGTTATTGTTATGTTTGATCTGAATTATGCATTTATCTGTTCATTATATGCTTATTCATGTGCATCATGGTTGTTGACAGATATGTCATTTATGAAAAGACTTGTTTGATTCGTTAAATTGTAGAATTATAAAATTATCTAATAAATTAAGTGAGTAGAGTTGATTCACCTTAATTAAGTCAAGTAGTAATTTAAATAATTAGCTAGGTAAAAATAAGGAGACTCCCATTTCATTAAATCAAGTTAAGTAACTTAGATATAGACATGTATCTATATATATATATATGTGTGTGTGTGTGTGTGTGTGTGAGATGAATTCAAAGGAGAGAGAGATAAAAACCTGGGAGAGTTAAAAAGTGTTCTAGAGTTTGAGTGAGTGAGGAAGAGAGGAAGGGATAAAGGGATTTTTGTGAATGAGAAAATGGAGTGAGTGGTGGAGGATTGAAGAAGGTGAGGTCGGAGTCGAGGGAGCTCCGGTTCTCGAGAGTTTTGAACACAAAATGGGAAATTGTATTGCTATTTGCAAGCCCAACAGCAACAAATCTGGTTCTGAATCAGCTGCGGACGAGCACCGGAAAGTTCTACAGGTTGTAAAGACAGACGGAAAAATATTGGAGTTCAAATCACCAATCACTGTGAAGGACTTTCTGGTAAATTTTTCTGGGTTTTCCATTGCTGTTTCACAAATACTTTCCAAGCCTCTGCCTCCCTCTTATGAGTTGAAGCTAGGAAAAACATATCATCTTCTTCCTCCTCCTCCAAGTCCTCCAACTTCCACAGCTGAAAAAACAGCGCAATCCAATGGTGTAAAGAGAATTAAAGTGGTCATAACAAAGCAACAGCTTCAGGAATTGTTGTCGAAACAGAGATCGATTGAAGATGTTCTTCTATCAGGGTTGGAAAGGAAGAGTTCTTCTTCTTCTGTTGATTCTGCTTCAACATGTTGGAAGCCTAAGCTTGAATCCATACCCGAAGGAAGCGAGTCATGTTTGACATAGCGATTAGGTGTACACAGTGCACGAGACTCCCGCTATTGCTAAGTCTAGAGAGGATCAGATGTACACAGTCTTATCTCTGTGGGCAGAGAGGCTGCTTTTGTGGTATTGTAAGTGACTATTTACATGGGCATGGCACGGAAAAATAGATAGAATTAGAGTAGGCTTTGGAATTAGTAGTACCACCATTACTATATGATAAAAGGGTTTGATTTGTATATGCTTAGCTTTGGGCTTAATCAACTTTTATCTGCTTAATTTGGAGTGTTTTTTTTTTTTTTTTAAATCTTTTTGCTGTTTTTAGTTTTTGGGTTAAATGAGTAGTTATGAATTTGATCCTACTTGGCATGCAGAGTAGTTTCTTCATTTCCAGGATTGAAATTCCGACTCTGTTTCTTGGTGGTTGGTTTGGTATCTAAAAGGAAACAGAGCAACAAACACGAAGGAGCAAATACAAACACCAGTTCGCTCGGTAAAGTTTACAGATTGCATTAAATATATTTATGGTATTTTTGAATAATATTAGAATCATGAAAAAAAAAAATTATGAATTGTATTATGAAATTTTTTTATCATTTGATTAATGTATGGTATTTTATTATATGTGTAATCTAAAAGTAAAAAATATTTTATAATCATTTTTATCATATTTTTTTCACGATCCCTAACATTACTCGATATCTTTTTAAGGAGAAAAAAAAACATTTTTTTGTGTTTAAAATTTTATTTTAAAATTAAGTAAAAGTGGTGCTCGGAGATGGTGGCCGATGGCCGTAAGTGATAGATAGAGGTGGTTTCGACAAGAAGTAATTGTTGATGATCAGAAATAGTCGTCGCCAATAAAAATAATAGCTACCAATAAAAATAGTAGCTAGAGCCAATAGAGGTCGCCTACAATAGTGGCTGTAAAAGGTCAACAATGGGGGTGACTTAACGCCTATACTAGTTATTGAAGTGGGGGCTGGTTATTAAAGGAAGTGGAGGCGGGAGAAAAGAATGAAATATTTTTTTCTAAACAACTAAGGTCAAGTTTGGCTAACAAAAACAAGTACACTTATTTCATCTTTTTATCTTTTTTAGGTCACATCAATCAACATCTTCTCTTTATTTTTTTTACGCATAATACAAAAAAAGTCAAAAAGTACACTTATTTAGTCTTTACAAACTTGGCCTAAAACTAATTTATTTTTTGGTTGTAAAAGGTTAAAAAAAATTATTATTTATAATTTTTTAAAGACAAAAATAGATTACAGAACAAATTTTACTATTCTGTCTCTTCAGAATTTTGCTCCATTCATGTCCAGTTACACCTGATAAACCATGAATTGGTTTAATGAGAAATGTTTGTTACAAAATAAGTTTCAACAGTGTCAAATTTTTCTGCTCTTAAGAAAAAGAAATTTTGAGAGTAGAAAATCTCAAATAGATGATCTTTTATGTCAAATGCACTATCTTTATGCTAGATGCTTGTGCGCTCTTGAAATAGTTTATCAATTGAAAGAACTGAAAAGAGAAGATTTAAGAGAAAAGAAAATGGTTGAGACACTAATTAATAGTGCATCCCACTCACTGTTAGAGTGCCTTATTTATTTTTATTTTTTTGAAGTGTATGCCAACCTATTAGTGGTGTTTTAAAGCACCACTTTTAATGGTATGTAACATTGTTATAAGAGAAAACTTCGTATACATTTTGATGTAGAGCAATATATAATTGCTATTTATCATTCTTATACACAATTTTACACATTGTAATGAAGGAAGCAGCCAATACAAGCCTAAAATATCATAACACTAGCCACAAAACCAAGCAAAAATAAATCTATAATTTTTACTGAATTTCCACATCAATCACATTGCGCTCTACTTTGACCTTAGGAATGGAGATTAACAAAACTCCATTCTTCATCTCTGCTTTGATTTTATCCTTTTCACAATTATCAGGGAGACGAAGACGAGTGTCGTAGGAACTGTAACTTCTTCCCGACCAAGAATCATCTCCACCTTCCTCCCTCTTGTGCTCTCCTTTGATAACAAGGAGATCATCTTCCACAGAGACCTTGACATCTTCTTTGGAGAGTCCGGGAACATCAAAGCGCATTTTAATTTCATTTTCGTCATCTTTGATGTCCCATGGGGCACGCACCTCTGCCGCTGGGAATGTCACAGAATCCTCAAACAGTCGATCCATTCTATCCAACATTTGTCGCATTGCCCTCATTGGAGACAGAGGGTCTAATAAACCTATTATCGAAAAACCTTTTCTTTGTAAGTAACCGACCTTGAAAAAGAACAATCACCATTCATATGATGACTTGTAATGCTATTCACTAATCCTTGTAATTGTATTTTTTTTTCCATTGTTTTGAGTAATTTAGTTGAAACCTTGATTTGGTAGGGAGCACTATAATCTGTTACTCATGATTTTTTTCATAAAATATTTATAAAAAAATTCTCAACTTGTCCCAAAAACATAGTTAACCAATTAAAAAAAAATTATATGATAAAGATTTGCTTCATCCTTGATTTGAGAAGTTTGATGTAAGTATTGGAGCTCTTGTTGCATTACCTGAGAGGATATTGGCACTTGATGCTTCCTTAATTGTGATTGGTTAAGACACCACTAGGGTCTATCATATGTGGGAGACAACATGGAATAGTCATTTGTGATTGGTTGAACCTGGTGGCACCATCCACACCCACTAACTTCTACGTTTTAAACCATTTTTCATTAATTGTGAATTGATAAATGATTGGAGATGCCCAAGTTATTTGAACATGTGGGGAGTAGAGCCCGCTTCATTGAAAGGCACTTTTAACTGCATCTTTAGTGTTAGTCTGTTAGGTACGTGAATGAAATGTTGTGTGCATTTTTTGGTTTTTTATGAGTGCCTGTTAAATAGTATCAACATGTCTTGTGCATTCAATTTCATTTTTTTTTCTTATTGGGATTGGGATGTCCCTTTCAGACCTTACATGTTGTTTATCTCACATATATTTTTAAATTTTTGTAGCTTCCCTGGAAAGCTGCTGGTGTGAGAATAAGCCGAGCCAAGGTGCCCAATAGAAGCATGCTCCAGCAAGAAGGTTTGTATCAAAATCTCTTTTTAGTTGTTATTTGCGTGATCCTGTTTTCTATACAGAGGGGCACAACATTCATATTTGACTTTTTAATACTTGTGTGACTATATGCAATTTATGATCTTGCCATATATGTCGTTATTATAACTTAAAAAGATGCTGACTAGCTTGGTATTGTGGAATTCATCGTCATTCCAATATTCACGCTCGACTGAGAGTTCTATGGGCCCATCTCTATTCCATAATTATTTTGTGCAACGCGAGAACTACTTTACTGGCGTTGGTCTTCTGTTGAATCGTTCGTTTGACCCTTTAACTTTGTTGAGCATTAGAGAATTGGTGTATAATTTAACATTTAAGTGGAGTGTTGACTAAGGTGTACAATTTACTAGAGTAATAGATAAAGAGTGGTGGATTAAGGTGTAATATACATACACACACATATCTTAAGTAAGTTTCTCACTTCACATCTTTCGTTGATACACATATATCGCGAGGATGTCTCAGCCCGCATCTTTTCTAGATAGATAGACGAGGCTTTGTTTCCCCTTATTTAAGGTTCTCCTTCCTCCAGCTCAACCTAGAAATTTGGGCCCTATTCATAGTTAACATAGCTAGTTTCAGAATTCCCCTGTGCGCAATCTATATTTTTTTGTTTCCTTTGGGAGTTTTGCATGTGTGTAACTATTTGATGCCTAACATGTTTTGCCCATTTGATTTAGCTGGCACTTGTTATTGTTACAAGCCTAAGGTTTGCGCTATTCTCAAATGCATATTGTTACTTGGTCAGCGGCCAGAATCTAATTGTTTTTGTGGCTAGTTTTGATGGACAGATTTCATGTGCAGTATGTTTTACTAGTGGGTGAGTGCAATGCATGTGCTTCCAAGTTTTTAATATAAAAATTTGGATGGTTATATGGATTGGAGGGGCAAATTTGATGAATGAGAAAAACCGTTTTTTAATAGTTGTTGCAATTTGATAAATGAAAAAATTGTTCGAGTATTTTGACAGTTAAAGGGGCATTCTTGGAAAGAAAACGCTGACAGCGTTGGTACCCAAATGTAATAGGTAATAGTTAGTTTTGTTACAGTATTAATGGGAACAGTACCAATGGCCAACTGCCACTTATCATTATGGAAAGAATTCTTGTCTATTTCTATGTGCTTGTAAATTTGTCGTGGGTCACAATTGGAGAAAAAATGTATTTGATTGGGTATGTTGTTAATTTGTTAACTTGTTTGAGCATGTTGGGTTACATTATGCCACTTGATGAATAGGGACACGATTTTTTAGAGATCAAAAAGAAAAAATGAAAGTGTCATTATTGAACACTGTAAAAACATGAACTAGATTGGGCGCTAGTTTACTACTTCGGGCGCAGAGGGGAAGAAAGGATGATTGTTTTAATTGTGTATTTTGAGAATTATAAAGTTGTTTGTGCCTTGTTGAATTATGATATGTTGAGTAAGTATCAGACTATGGCGTGTGGATGATGATAAATTTAAATCTTTTATCTTCTGTAAAATTTCATGGGGCATTGTGGTTGAAATTTCTGTCCCAAAATTAGTTTTTCTTCTTTGATTTCTCTTTCTCATTGCAACTTAGTGGCAATCAAGCAATGAAAGTTGTGTTATGGTCTACGATATTTGGTTTTCCTTCTTTGAGCAAACATTTCCTGCAGTTCCTTGGTTAATCGTTCTGCCATGTCAAGCTTTGTAATGATTTTCTTTTGTAGCTATTATGTTTTTTCATTGATGTTGACACTATTACGGAGAATATGCCTCATAAGTTTTACCTGTTTGATGAGTGTAACAGCATTACGGAAAGATTTCATGTTGATCTCATCCGTGATTAGAGATTATCTTTTGTTACCTTATTGCTGATACAAAAAAAAAAAATGATGGAATAAGCACTATGAAAAATGAGTCTTAGTCGATTGATTTTTTTAAGTAGTTTTTTTAAATCTTCAGAACCATATCAGATTCTATCTTGCCAGCATTAACTCTTGTTTGTGAGTTGAAACTACGACGTCCCTCGGCCTCTTCTCTTTTCTCTCTTTCCCTTCTCATTTCTTTTTTCTTTTTTCTCTTTTTTTTCCAGAAAAATGTAGAAATCCACAGCACTTGCTATTATTAATATTTATTTTCATGACAATAAGACATACCACCCAAGCATCAAATGCTGCTGGTGCAGTGGCTACTATCCCATGTATATGAAATTTTCTTCTGGTTCTTCCACACCTTTTGTCTATGCTCTGAGTCTTTCGTGTGTGGGCTGTGAGAGAGAAGTTTCAGAGGCTGCAAATGGTGTCTCAGGATGAACTAAAGAGTGAGAGAATTATACGGTTATCATGGGTCTCTTGTTCTTCCCAAACCAACAGATAGACCTTGCAACATGGGATAGTATGCTTGAAGAGTCAGAACCAATAAATTCAGTACTAAATAATTTTTCTTTACAACAAGGAGTTTATAGTTCTCAACGATTGTGATTTAATTTCTTGTTTTAATTATTCACTTATTCCATTTAACATCCTCCTGTCTTGTTTACACCTTTTATTTACTCTCTTTGCCACCATCTTCACTGGTAACTACACCTCACCCTGATCTTGTTATGTGCATAGCATGTTGCATTGTTTGTGTCTTTTTGTATTTTTTAACTTGATTTGTTTCTTTATTCATCTGGAAAAATGGAGAAAAAAGGAACTTAACAGCCAGTGCACTGCTAAAAGTTGCATGTTGTATACATCATTTTTGGATGATTAGTTTTAGGGAGGCATCAAAAGTTTTGACTGGCATTTGTGCTCTCATTACTTGTTATGCTTTGAGAAATTCAAATTATTAGCTCAACTGTAGCCAAACCTCAAAGTTTGGCGGGACTGGTTGCTGACCCTTTCGTAAAAAAGAATTGGTTTGTAAACGGTAACTTTTGTATCTCTGAAGTAACACCATCGTTTCCCTATGGAGAATGATTAGTTTTGTTTATGCTATGGTTGCTGTTTACTATTAATTTTCATTCTGCACCTTTGTGTTTTAAGTTTCTATTGTGTTGGATAGCTGCCACAGAATAGATCGCAGTTTGACGTACCATATTTGGTATTGCTTGAATTCTGACGCGTTTACTTCGATGTTTTGTATATGAAATTTCAGCCCTTGTCAAGAACTGAACTAATTTTTTGGCCCTCATTATGCAATAGTTGCAGCCCATGTCAAAAGGAGGAAAGAGCTTATTTCTTGTTGGTTGGGTATTACAGAAGTGTGTGAATTCGAAGGAGCAGGCAGCTTGCAGAATCATGTTTAAGGTTTTTTTTTCCCTTCTCTGTATCCCTTATCAGAATTTGTACCTAGTATGCAATTTCTTTTCAGGTTCTTTTTCATACGCTACATGATTTACTTTGTGTGATGTGTGATTGATTATCTTTTCAGATTATAATTTCAACAATGATACTCAATACAAATAATAATTAATACAATAATTTGAAAGAAATGACATATGACTTGCATTTCCTGTTACAGTTTGATATTTGATGTTTTTCACAATGACTTTTTTATCATCGGTCTGAAGGGCAATTCATCATTGGAAAGATGCTATGACAGCAGTTTATTTTGATTTCTGTCTAATCTTCCGGCCTCATTTTAAATTCCTTTCATCCACGTCAAATAATCTTCAAATCACCAATATTGATTATTACCATATACATAGACAATGTCAATCTAATGGAACTCTTTTCCTCCTTCTCTTTTTTTTAAGTTTTTCTTTCTGGCTGTATTAATGTATATATTACTTTAATTATAACAGTCTATAATTATAGAAATTCCATGGCATGGGAATCACATACGTATTTCATGTGTGTGCAGATTCGCACTGATTGGATGCAAGCTTTGACCCTCAAGAAGACTTCTTGATGATTCAAAATCACTAAAGGTGATGACGAATTCTCTCTTTATCAATTTCCAGATCTTAAAGAACTTGAAAATTACATTTTTTTTCATTTTTGTTGTTGTTGGTGGTGGTGGTGTAGATGTTATTGCATAGCATCACTGCACGGTTGTAGGACTTGTGGCTGGTGGATTGCTTGCCTCTTTAGGTTGAAAAAAGTTGTTTAAATTCATATGACTGCCAGGAATAACATACTACCAAATTGTCTTGGGTTCAATTTCTTTCTTTTTATATTTTTATTGTTTATTTTTTATTTTATTATTATTTATATTGACAAG